GCAACGTTGAGGAGATGCTTGCGGAGCCCCAATGCGGTTTCAGGAAAGGGCGGTCCTGCACAGATGCCAAATTTTCTGTCCGTCTGCTACAGCAGAGGTGTAGGGAATCCAACAAGACCTACATCTCTGCTTTATTGACCTGGTCAAGGCCTATGATACCATCAGTAGGCCTGGGCTCTGGGTTGTTCTTCGTGCTTTTGGAGTACCTGACCCTCTGCTCACGATCATTAAGGACCTTCATGATGGTGAGCGGGCCCGGGTAAAACTACGTGGCCGGGAGTCAGAGCCATTCCCTGTATACCTTGGGGTGCGACAGGGATGTCCTCTGGCTCCCACATTATTTAACATCTATTTTGACCACGTAGTTCGTGAAGCCTTCAATAGCTGTACTGGGGGAATCTCCATATGGTACAGATATAATGGGAGGCTGATCGACGCCCGGGTGCGGTCAAGGGATGGCTCCCTATTGCTCAACCACGTTATGTATGCTGATGATTTGGTAATAGCTGCTCATTCCGAGGAGGAGTTGGAGACGCAGGCTGCTGAGACTGGAGCGTGCCACTAAGAGGTGGGGCCTTACCATCAGCCCCACCAAAACTAAGCACCTGCCTGGGTATTTCGTACCATCGGACACTCCACCCCCACAACTCCCAATCGGTGATGGGGCAGTTGTGGAGAGAGTGGAGAGTTTCCCATACCTGGGCAGTGTGCTTATGACCGGCTCCAGTTTAACAGCAGAGGTCTCACTCCGAATCAGTGCAGCAGCAATATCTTTTCATCGGTTGCGTAACGCTGTGTGGAAGCTACCGGGTCTGTCGCTCCGCACTAAGCTTCAGGTCTTCTCGGCCACGGTCATTCCCTCCCTTCTCTACGCTTGCGAAACGTCGACCCCCCTAATGGAACATCTTTGCCGGTTAGAAACATTTAGGCTGGCCTGCCTACGATCCATCCTGGGTTTAACCAGACTGGATTGTGTGAGGAGCTCACAAATCCTTGAAAGATCTGGGCAAGGTCCCATCGGTGAGCTCCTCCGGCGGGGAAGGCTGCGATGGCTGGGTCATGTAGCCCGCATGCCCAGCCACCGCATGCCGAAACAGCTTTTGTTCGGCCGGATCGAGGGGGCTAAGCGGGCGCGGCACGGGCTAGAGAAGAGATGGAGTGATGTGGTACAGGAGGACGTGGAGCTGAGTGGACTTGCCGATGACTGGTACCAGCGGTGTCAAGATCGGCCTCTGTAGAGGAGGCTCGTGAAGGACGCTACTGGGCAGTCGGAGGTAGTCGCCCTCCAACAACAACGGAGGGCGGAGGAGCGACGTTCACAACAACGAGCGGAGCGCCGGGTGGCTAAAGCACAGCAGGTTGGCACAGTAGGGGGCACAGGTGGTGCATCAGCCAGTCATCTCAGTCAGTCGACCCGTGGCACCTGGGTCTGCCCCGTGACCTCCTGCCAGCGGGCGTTCGACACTTCACGTGGCCTCAGGGTGCACATAGCCTGGCACAAGCGTCGTGGTGACGTCACCGCCACTTAGTGGTGAATGGCGGTTGTTGTGTACGCGTGTGTGTCTACGTGCGATAGGTGACCGATGTATATCTGAACCGGTCCTGGGGGTCCCCTAGGTCGACTCAGCCATGAAGGAGTGGCACCATAATAGAGGTTTTTGGGTTAGATCACGTAAATATAAATGCGTCGTTAAACCCTCCACCACCCGACACAGCCAATTAGTAAAGTTTATCACGTAAACAAAACGTGCGATCTCCGTCTGGTTGGAGAGTAAACCCACAACATCTACAAGTCGACTGCGACGTTCCGCCGATAATTACAACCAGCATCATCAGGCGACAGCCAGAGTTAGCCTGTTACCCTGTGGAGAAGCATTCTGTGCTGTAACAGCACTTGCCCCAGCCAGTCTGTTGATGCTATACGGGGGAACTTTGTATGTGTGCGCGGGGGGCGGGGCCTATCCTATCGAGGGGGCGGGGGCTGGTGCCGCTTAAGGGGTGTGGCCTGGGTCTGGCACAGCTCAAGTTGCCGAGACTCAATTAGCGAAACCAATCAAAGCGCAGCTCATCGAGACATCATCACCATCATCATCATCACCATCATCACCATCATCATCATCACCACCATCATCATCACCATCATCATCATCACCACCATCATCATCACCACCATCATCATCACCATCATCATCACCATCATCATCACCACCATCATCACCATCTTCATCACCACCATCATCATCACCATCATCATCACCACCATCATCACCACCATCATTATCACCATCATCACCATCTTCATCACCACCATCATCATCACCATCATCATCACCACCATCATCACCATCATCATCATCACCATCATCACCACCATCATCACCATCATCATCACCATCATCACCACCATCATCATCATCCCCATCATCACCATCATCATCACCATCATCATCACCACCATCATCACCATCATCACCATCATCATCATCACCATCATCATCCCCATCAATATCACCATCATCATCACCACCATCATCACCACCATCATCACCACCATTATCACCACCATCATCACCACCATCATCACCATCATCACCATCATCATCACCATCATCATCCCCATCAATATCACCATCATCATCACCACCATCATCACCACCATCATCACCACCATCATCACCACCATCATCACCACCATCATCACCATCATCACCATCATCACCACCATCATCACCACCATCATCACCATCATCATCACCACCATCATCACCACCATCATCACCACCATCATCACCATCATCATCACCACCATCATCACCATCACCACCATCATCACTATCATCATCACCACCATCATCACCATCATCACCATCATCATCAGTGCCATCATTGTCGTCGTCGTAATCAGCATCGCGATCATTGTCGTCAGCGGTACCGTTAATCGTTGCCAGTGTGACCCTGCTTGTGTTCACCCAGGAGTGATTCGCTGAGTCTCATGACTATTTTCACGAGGGTCCTGCCAGGATTTCGCAGTAAGGGACGAGGATTTTGCTAGTGTGTGTAATCCAAATGAGTAATTTAGTCGTCATTATCATCATCACACACATCATCCGCACCATCGTCACCGTCAGCATTGCCATCATCATTACCACCATCACTTCCACCACCATCACTTCCACCACCATCACTTCCACCACCACCATCACTTCCACCACCATCACTTCCACCAACACCATCACTTCCACCACCACCATCACTTCCACCACCACCATCACTTCCACCACCATCACTTCCACCATCACTTCCACCACCACCATCACTTCCACCACCACCATCACATCCACCATCACTTCCACCACCACCATCACTTCCACCATCACTTCCACCACCATCACTTCCACCACCATAACTTCCACCACCACCATCACTTCCACCACCATCACTTCCACCACCACCATCATTACCACCATCACTTCCACCACCATCACTTCCACCACCATCACTTCCACCACCATCACTTTCGCCACCATCAATTCCACCATCGCCATCACTTCCACCATTACTTCCACCACCTCCACTTCCACCATCACTTCCACCACTATCACTTCCACCATCACTTCCACCACCATCACTTCCACCACCACCATCACTTCCACCACCATCACTTCCACCATCACTTCCACCACCACCATCACTTCCACCACCACCATCACATCCACCATCACTTCCACCACCACCATCACTTCCACCATCACTTCCACCATCACTTCCACCACCATCACTTCCACCACCACCATCACTTCCACCACCATCACTTCCACCACCACCATCATTACCACCATCACTTCCACCACCATCACTTCCACCACCATCACTTCCACCACCATCACTTTCGCCACCATCAATTCCACCATCGCCATCACTTCCACCATTACTTCCACCACCACCACTTCCACCATCACTTCCACCACTATCACTTCCACCATCACTTCCACCACCATCACTTCCACCATCACTTCCACCACCACCACTTCCACCATCACTTCCACCACTATCACTTCCACCATCACTTCCACCACCATCACTTCCACCATCACTTCCACCACCATCACTTCCACCACCACCATCACTTCCACCATCACTTCCACCACCACCATCACATCCACCACCACCATCACTTCCACCACCACCATCACTTCCACCATCACTTCCACCACCACCATCACATCCACCATCACTTCCACCACCATCAATTCCACCATCACTTCCACCACCATCACTTCCACCACCATCACTTCCACCACCACCATCACTTCCACCACCATCACTTCCACCACCACCATCATTACCACCATCACTTCCACCACCATCACTTCCACCACCATCACTTCCACCACCATCACTTTCGCCACCATCAATTCCACCATCGCCATCACTTCCACCATTACTTCCACCACCACCACTTCCACCATCACTTCCACCACTATAACTTCCACCATCACTTCCACCACCACCATCACTTCCACCACCACCATCACTTCCACCACCATCACTTCCACCATCACTTCCACCACCACCATCACTTCCACCACCACCACCACTTCCACCACCATCACTTCCACCATCACTTCCACCACCACCATCACTTCCACCACCACCATCACTTCCACCACCATCACTTCCACCATCACTTCCACCACCACCATCACCACCATCACCATCACTTCCACTGTTTTCACGACTCCTTATTCCTAAGCGCGGCTGCTCACGCGCGTGGTTGCAGAGTGGGCAGTGTTTCGTATGTGCAGTCGTGTTGTGCGTGATTTGTTGTTGTTGTTGTTGTTGTTATTTGTTGCTGTTTGTTTTCCAAGTCCGCGCTCCCAGCTGTACGCGTGGGGCGCTGCGAGACACGGGGAGGAGGACTGAGAGAGGGGAGTGGGGGGAGGGAGAGTGAGAGAGGGGAGTGGGGGGTGGGAGAGGAGAGAGTGCGTGGTGGTGGTGCAGTGGTAGTCGTGGAGAGAGTGGGTGGAGGGGAGAGTTCGGTGGAGGATAGAGCGCCGAGAGTTCACCACCATCACCAACATCACCACCACTACGATCACCACGATCACCATCACCACCATGACCTACTCACCAGTAGCACAACAACCCTCTAGAGGCGCACCCGACCGCTAGAGTTTGATAAACTCCAGTTGTTTAATTAAAAACCCCACTTGTATAATTATATAGAGTCAACATTGGCTTCATTTTCTAATCCGTGTAACTTATTGAGCCGAGTATTGGCGTGCGTCAAGGGAGCGCTCGTGAGCGGTGGTCGCGGGGCATTGATGCCTGTGGACTCGCGTCTCCTGCGACTCCCCACGACTCCGCCACGGCCCGGGCGGCAGAGGCACGGGGAGACGGAGGAGAGCCGCTCCCGGTGAGCGAGCGAGTGAGTGAGTTACCCAACTCTCACTTACCCCCTCTCTCTTATCTCTCCCTTGACTCGCTTAACTCTCCCTTCACTCTCTATTGGCTCACCGGTCCACCCTCTCCACTCTCCCCGTCTCGCGCTCTCCCCATCGTCTCTCTGCTCCCCGTCGCTCTCCCCCTTTGGTCTCTCCCCGCGCGCGCTCGGGATGGGCGCGCGCGCGCTGGAGGCGCGAATCGCTCTCTCGCTCTCTCTCTCTCTCTCGCTCTCTCATCTCTCTCATCTCTCGCGCGTGTGTATCCGCGTTTACAGCCGCGAGTGCAAGCGTGTGTAAGTGTTGTGAGTGTGTTGGTGTGTGTGTCAATGTGTGAGTGTGTCAGTGTGTGTGAATGTGTGTGTGTGTGTCAGTGTGTGTTAAGGCTATACGGGGGATCTTTGTCTTTGTAGATATCGATGTATGAGTGTGTATGTATACGTGTAAGTGTGCGTGACAGAGTGTGTGCACGTTCAATTACAGGAGTGTAGTTTTGCGTGAGTGTGTGAAAGTGTGGCTGGGTGTTTCGCGTGTGTGAGTGTGAGTCAGTGTGAGTCAGTGTGTGAGTCATTGAGTGAGTATGTGTACCCATCATCGTGGGGAGCGGTGGTGTTGTAATTAGCGCACCACGGCTTACATCAGTGGTAAGGTAATATTATTACCGATACGGGGCTTCCCTTGAGTCGACTCAGACTTAAATGAGCACTTGGGGCGGTGTGTCGTAAACATCGCTACTCGGGAGACAACTACGGCCGGGCGTGGTGCTGGCCATCCACCACATCGTGTGCCGTGCCGGCCTTCATAGGTGCTCGCTAACAGCACTCGCCACAGCAGTCTGTTAAGACTACACGGGGAATCTTTGTCATTTTATATTAAGAAATTGCACTCACACGTGCGCGTGTGTGTGATGCATGCACGTGTATTGGTGTGAGCGCGCGCGTTGAGTGTGTAAGTTTTAGAGTGTGTGTGTTGGTGTGTTTACGAGAGCGTGTGCATTAGAATGTGTTTGTACCTCCAAGTAGCACGATTGGCTACGTACGGTGCGAAAGAAGTTCAACACACACAGTGTGTGTGTGTTCACACACTCTGAAGCACACAGTGTGTGTGTGTGCTTCAGAGAGCGTGTGAACATTTATTGTTTATTGGGTAGTTTAGAATCGGTTTTATTTTCCATTATTTTTAAGTAAGAGTGAAACATAATAGTTTACCAGCTCGCCGCACGAATATTAACGTCTGGCGATACCAATGGCAACATCCACCTCGCCACCGAGAAACGGAGCGCCACTCGCTGACTCGGCTCACCGCGCCGTTTGAACGTTCGCGCACTCATTCACTAAGTTTGCAGTGGAAATGGTTATCGGTTGCTGGCTATCGTAACTCGAAACGGTTACCGGTTTAACATCCCGAACGTACACGCGTGTGTTGTATATACGTGGCGAGTGGTGGCGCAGTGATTAGGCTGCGTTACGAACCTACGGCAAACCGAGTTTGATTCCCACTGACGGTCAACACCAGCGACGGTTATACGAACCTGTCCTGGGCCTTCTCTCAACGAGCGGTGTGCGTAACAGCGCCACGAGGGAGACAAAGGCGGTCGGGCGTGGTGCCGACCACCCATCACCTCGTGTGCCTTGCCGGCCTTCATCGACGCTACTCGCTCATAGCGCCTTGCCCCAACAGTCTGCTGAAGGCTACATGGGGGATCTTTGTCTCTGTGCGGGTGGGAGCGTGTGAGACGGAGTGTGGCGACATCCGAGTGCGTGTCCACGCATTGCGTTGCATGCGTTTAAGAAACTGAGCGCACGTGTTTTTTTTTGCAATTTTTTTAACTGCCGAGCCGGGAGATGGAATCGAACTTGCGATCTCCGTCTGGTTGCCAAGTTATATAAGTTATATATAAGTTATATATGCGAAACGCGCGGTGTTCATTGCTATAGACATCCCTACACGTGCGGCAAACAAAAAAACACTTTAACCGGTTCTAACCGTTTTTCATGCGGTAACCGGTTACGCAAAAACCGATTCGAACAACACTCGCATATGCATAATATATTGTATACATATACCGTATGTTTGTATAAGTATGGGCGCGCGTATATATAGTTACTTGTGCTTATTCATGTTATATATATGTGTATATTGAGATATGTTCAGAATATATCATACTCGTGTATATCGAAAAGAGTGTATTTATGTACGTGTGTGTGTACACGCGTATGTGGGTGTGTGTGTAGATACAGTACATAATTGGGGAGCGGTGGCGCAGTGGTTAGCGCGCTGCGTTACGAACCCGGCGTCCCGAGTTCGAGTCTCGCTCACGGCCACCAACAGCAGTGACGGTTATCTGAAAGGGTCTCTCCTAGTTCGACTCAGCTTCAGTTGAGTACCTGGTGCGATGTGTATACATCGCCACTGGGGAGACAAAGGCGGCCGGGCGTGGTTCTGGCCACCCACCTCCTCGTGTGCCGTGCCGGCCTTCATAGATGCTCGCTAAAAGCACTTGTCCCAACAGTCTGTTAAAAGCTATATGGGGGATCTTTGTGTGTGTGTGTAAGTAGATATGCTATAGATGTCTGTACATGTGTAAGTATATGTACTGTTGCATTTGCAGTGTTAATTTGCTGTGTACACGATTGTGTTATTATTACGACTACGTGATTAAGTGAAGAAGGTCCGCGCGTGTATGTTGATACTGCTCGTCACCGAATACAAAACACCGGGACAGCCGCTGCCATCTCCCGGTGCGGCAGGTGAAATACTGCGTCAAGTTTCTTAACAACAACAACAAACCCTGGCAGCCTCTCTCTGTCGACTATGGTAGGCAGGTCACGTGTGGTGGTGGGGCAAAGTGTGGGTAACTCGCATCCCTTCCCGCTGCTCGTCTCGTGGAGGGCCCTTCCGCCAGTACCGGCAGTGGCGAGCTGAGACAGCGAGGGTGCAAGCGGTGTAGGTGACGTGAGCCGCCGTGCCGTTTGTACTCTCGCGGCAAACGCGCGGCTCGATGGCAGGGCCACGACACGTGGCCGTGCGTTAAGACGCCTTTCATGGTCCTAGATCCTAATGCGACGCGCCTGGAAAGCATCGAAATCAAAACAGGAGGAGAGCGAACGGTCATAACTCGGGAGGTAAATGTCAAGTCGAAGAGGAGAGTTTCCACGAGAGATTTAAATAATAACCAAGCGACTCGTTTGCCCCATCACCGAAGAGACCTAGACGCCAAAATCACGCGGTGCGAAACGTCGGACAAGGTGCCGAGCAAATAACACGCGGTACGGACCCGATATCACACAGAGACGGCTCGCACAGTGGCCACTGAACTCACTCGCTCAAACAAAGATCCCCCGGGTAGCCTTCACGGACTGTTGGGGAAAGTGCTGCTAGCGAGTAGTACCGATGAAAGCCGGCACGGCACGCGAGGGGGTGGGTGGCCAGCACCACTCCCGGCCGCCTTTGTCTCCCCGGTGCTGATGTTTACACAGCGCACCAGGTACCCATTTAGTGCTGAATCAACCTGGGGGAGGCCCAGGACATGAATATTCAAATATTCGTCGCTGATGTTGACCGTGAACGGGAATCGCACGCGCTGACTCGCTCACTCACCGGGAACGCGTCGCCTGCTTTGCCACAGCTCGCAAGCTAAGCAGCATTGAGCCTGGATACTGCCTGCATGTGTGACCATGATGCACGACGTGCTGGCGGTGGGCAGGAGAGGATCAGGCGGCAACAACCCGAACCAGACACGCGAGAGCGATGGGAATTCCGTGAGAGAGAGAGGGGAGAGAGGAGAGCGGAGAGAGCTGGGAATTCGGTTCGCTTAACGGAGCGATGGTGACATCAGATCGAGTGCCCAGGTGCCGGGTGGGTGCATTGCAGTCGTGGGAGGAGGCGGCGTGGAGGGCGAGGGAGGGCTTCATCTAGCAGTGGATAGATCGCGGCCCGTGATGTTTTTTTTCCCGAGTGTTCGCAGCAGTAGCGGCAGCAGAAGCGGCGGCGTTGATTGACACTCGAATCCGCGCTCCTTGTTAAAATGGCCGGGGTAATTGTGTGGGTGTGTGGGTGTGTGGTTGTGTGGGTGTGTGGTTGTGTGGTTGTGTGGGTTTGTGGGTGTGTGGGTGTGTGGTTGTGTAGGTGTGTGGTTGTGTGGTTGTGTGGTTGTGTTGGTGTGTGGGTGTGTGGTTGTGTTGGTGTGTGGTTGTGTGGATGTCTGGTTGTGTGGGTGTGTGGTTGTGTGGGTGTGTGGTTGTGTGGTTGTGTGGGTGTGTTGGTGTGTGGTTGTGTGGTTGTGTGGGTGTGTGGTTGTGTGGGTGTGTGGTTGTGTTGGTGTGTGGTTGTGTGGATGTGTGGTTGTGTGGGTGTGTGGGTGTGTGGTTGTGTTGGTGTGTGGGTGTGTGGTTGTGTGGTTGTGTTGGTGTGTGGTTGTGTGGGTGTGTGGTGCGTGTCCCGTTGCCTTTTGGTATGGCTGTATGTGGTTGTGTGCATGGGAGCGGTGGCGCTGCGGTTAGCGCCCTGCGCCACGACTAACCCGGCTGGCCGAGTTCGATTCCCGCGCGCGGTCAACATCAGTGGCGAGTGACATCCAACCAGTTCCGTATCTCTCCTCTATCGAATCATCGACCTGGAACTTTGCGTTGACATCAAACACTGGGGAGACAAAGGTGGCCGAGCGCGGTTCTTTTGGTTACCATTGCTATCAGCACTTGCCCCAACAGCCCATGTTAGGCTTCCCGGGAGATCTTTATATGTGTGTGTGTATTTGCTCTGTATGACTGGAGACCGTGCTCGTGGTGTGTGGGGGGGAGGAGGGCAGGGGGAGAGAGGGGGCTGAGAGAGCGGGGAGAGAGAGACACGGGGAGAGAGAGACACGGGGAGAGAGAGACACGGGGAGAGAGAGACACGGGGAGAGAGAGACACGGGGAGAGAGAGACACGGGGAGAGAGAGACACGGGGAGAGAGAGACACGGGGAGAGAGAGACACGGGGAGAGAGAG